AGGATTATGGGCGAAAAAGGTTTCCATTTGCTTGTCATAGCCCGCAATAACGAATGACACTTTGCCACGGAGGTTCTCTACCTCGGCAAGGAGATAGTCCAATACTGCCTTGCCGCCGGGACTATTCCCTGAGGACAACTGGTAAGCTTCGTCAATAAATAACACGCCCCCGCCGTTGTCCCTCAGGTCCTCTAAGAGCTTTTCGCAGCCAGACACGCCCATATTGGCCAGCTTGGATCCGGAGGTTTCCTTGAAGCCGTCGCCAGGGAGAGCCCCCGTACATGCAAGGAATTCTGCCCACAGACGAGCAACTGTTGTTTTTCCTGAGATTCTGGATTAGCACCGCTTCCATCTGCCATGTATTCGGGGCATATCTTACCCGTTCCCGGATTGCCCAATAATGAGCAGCTCAGTCTTTCCTCTGATAACGATAGTTCTTGCCGGATTTTGGTATCAATGTTGGACTTGACAGCCAAGAACTCCTCCTTTACAGTCTCGAGACCTATTAAGTCCATGAGTTTGTTGAGCGCCTCATTACTAGGCTCACCGTGCTCTTTCAACCACTCCCATTCCTGCTGTGCCTGACTCGCAGGTTTGGAGCCCGACCTTTCGCTGTTTTCTGTCCTAGGTTGTTCCTTCCGCGCTTGTGCCTTCTTGGAACTTTCAACTGCGTCTCGCCTTTCTTGGGCTGCCTTCAAGCCCTTGAGCTTGGCCTTCTTTTCTTCCAGCTGAGCCTGTTGCGCCTGCTCTTCTCTCTTGTAAGCCAAGACGCGCTCATAGTGATCAATCTCATCACCAATCTTTTGAAGCTCACTAGCATATGCGGCTTGTTTTTCTTGTCTCATGGTTTCCAATTTCAAGTCTTGTGCGGCACGCCGGCGAATCTCTTCATCTTCGCGAGCACATGACTTACAGCCGTCAACCTCTGTTGAGCAGAGGATCTTTGACTTGTGCCCTCTCACACATGTATGAGAAACCCGTTTGTTGCAGGGAAACTGGGAATGATCAATGGCCCGATGGCATCGAAGCTCACAGGTATGCTTCCCACAGCTCAACAGCTTCCCACTAAGGAATGTCAAAAGAGGAGATCATTACTGTAATACTGAAACGGAGAAAAACCTACCAGGGCTCTGAACAACCCCCATCCGGGCAATGTTGGTCGAAGTCACCTGCTGATTTCAGGAGTGCCTCTCGATCAGGGTGTCGCTCACAATATACAGGCACACCATCGAACAAGCACTCCTTTTCTTTTAGCTCCTGGAAAAAGCCTCCCCACAACTCGCCGCCTTTTTTACTCTTTGTAAATGTGTGCATATTGCCAAAGAGCACGGCGCAATTCCTCGCTCGTGACATGAGGACCACCAGTCGCTCGGGTGCGGCCATGAATCCAATATCTCCAGACGCATTGCTCCTGGTTAAAGACACAATGACAATGTCGCTCTCCTCTCCTTGATAATTATCTATAAAAGTTAGCTTTTAACACCAGTGAAGTTACCATTTCCTTTGACAAACCAATGGTGGATAGCCGAAGCGGCTGTTTGTTTAATTTGGCAGCGGCTTGTGTCATCAGCCCGGCACGAGTCAATTCATATGAGTCCAGGTCGTTCAGCCAGGGGTCATGATCACGACTGAGTTTCTGCCTCAACAATGACAGCTGACCCAAGTACGGCGTCAGGACTACCATGTTCTTGGATTTATATCCTTGCTGGCTTAGGTACCGGACCATTTTGAGCACCATTTCAGCCTCGAATGCGTTTCTCTTGGACTCTCCTGGCCGACGATCGGCCACGTCAGCAAGTTTCTCCTCCTGGTGCTCATGATGGACAAAAATAACTCTCCCTTTGAGTCCTCTGACTTTTTCACGCTCTAGGGTTTTCGGATTATCTTCAAGGTGTTCATAGGCCAACCGACGGACAAAGTGGGAAATCTCGGGATGGCTGCGATGCTGTTCTCGGAGTGTAGTATAAGAGTGGCCCTGATGTATCAGCCTTTCGAAAAGGGACATGTTGAGGTTGAACCCCTCGCCCTTTTCCACTGTGAGGGTGTAGTTGTTTACCTTGGGACGAAGTTGTTTATGATCACCAATGAGCACGAGCTGCTTTACCGATGAGCTGAGTGCAGTGATGATGTGAGCTTCCAGAATCTCTCCTGCTTCTTCGACCAAGACCATGTCAGGCTGGGCCGACTCGATGATCGATTGATACATTGCTGCCGCAGTAGTAGTACAACCAATAATACGTTTACTCTGGAGAACCTTTCGCTTGGATTCGTTGTACAAACTGTCGATTTCTCGCTGAATCCTGCTCGACATCTCGGCAAGACAAGCAAACTCTTCCGTCTGATCATGGCGCACTTTGGAGCACCACTGGTTGAAAAACTCCCTTCGTGAACAAAGGGGGATGCTCCAAACAGGGCGACATGCTGGATCCATGGAGGCTAGCAGAGCACGAACAACACCGGAATCTCCCCCCTGTACCCATAGCTCCAGAATTTCACTTGCTCGCATTGGCTTGTTATTTTTGCCGATTATTTCAAAGCCATCATCCTGCTTTGGGACTTGAAACGCGGGCCAAAACGGTGTCGAATCTTCAGAGAACTCCAGCAGCGTAAGTATGTCATCTGGGTCGACGTAGGCGGTTGCGAGTTTTGCCCCTACATCAACGAGCCTTTCATTGACTTCAGAGGCTTCTGATTTATACTTGCGAATGGTAGCGTTGACTTCAAACGAGAACCGAAATGCTGGCTGTTTGCAGAGTGTTTCAAGCCGAAGAGGTTCAGTTCTCGTTGTCGATTTGGAACCGATCCGCACCATGTCCCTTTCCAATACTCCAATGTCCAATAGGTCCTCGAGAAACTGGTCCAGAGCGTGGTTCGTGTAGCTCAACACCAAAATCCGATAATTAGAGAGTTTGAGGACGATTCTCGATATCAGAGCTCCAATGAATGATTTCCCCGTACCTGGCGGACCTTGTATCTGGCCAACGCAGTTTTCCAGTCCGTTGATCAGAGATTCCAGCTGTGCACCAGACACACGTATAGATCCGCCCATGTGCCCGAAGGAGGACAGGTTAACTTCTTGTTGCTTCTCAAGTGCCGCTCGGAGTTGCCTCAATAGCTGCGACAATTTTTCTGGCGGCTGATATTGGCTCGTGGCCGATTTTGGCTCCAGCAGCATGTCTTCAAGTGGTATTTCGTAAATCTCCTTCAACCTCTGCAAGATGGGCTCATAGGCAAAGGTAGCGGTATCGACAACGTAAAATTGGAGATCACCTCTTGTAGGATGTATTAGTGCTTCTATTGAGTTCCTCAATGCCTCTACGTTGATGAACTTGATGACGACAGTGGGTGTCTTTTCCAGCAGCAGGTCGACGTTGCGAATCAAACAGCCAAAGGCGACGATATCATTGTTACGGCACAATACGCCCATGGAGTTATTTTTCATGAACGACTTGCCAGATCCTTCGAGGAAGCTTTTTCGATCTTTCTGGTCGGTTGAGCGGGGGAATACGATTCCATCCTCGCATTGCAATTGCAGAGCCAGGGGATCAACCCGCATCTTGTTGCCATCGCCGAATCCTACGAGGCTGAGTCCACCAAGACGTAGAGGTTTACGTCGTCCCTTCTTTTGGCCCCATGCAATGGCCAGATCGTCCCTCATATCTGCAAGCATGTCTTCTCTTAAAAGCCGATACAGCCATGAGAGGTATGTTGCTGCCCGAGACTCGCGCGGAACATCGAAGACATCGTCTAAGCGTTGCAGAAATGGTTCGTCCATGGAGCGGACTTCATCTGCAGTCGGATAGATGGAGATTGCGCGAAAGTCCAGGAAGTCATTGTCGTGGCGGCCACCGGGGCCATGACCTGTGGTTGCGGTTGCTGCAATCGAGTGCAATTTGAGGATTTTTTCGATTCGATATGCCAGTTGCCTGACCGGGTGTAAGGGTGCTTTGATAAGAGACTGGCTATCCATCAAAGCCACAACGTCGTCATACAGTGTGTCAAGTTCGGGAGACTTCATTGAGACAATCTCCAAACAAAGCCAGGCAAAAGTCTCAACTTCACCCACACTAAACCCAGTACTCTGCTGGTGTTTGAGAACAGCGGACCAGAAAGTAGGGGGGCACAGGGTCGCAAGCAAGATGCGTTGAAGATGGTGCCCACTGTTAATGTTTTTAACCATGGGATTCGAAAGATGTTTTATCAGCATGGTCATGACAGATGAGATGAACCCCGTGGAGAGATCACTTCGCACAACGCTACCCAGGGTTTCAACTCCTTTCGCGCTAGAAATGATCGACTCTACATAAAAAGCTGGCGTTTTGCATCGACATAAGATGTCAGTGGCCTCAAGAAAGTGATTGGCATCTTGATTGGTGCTGATTGTGCTTTTCCCCTCAATGTTGTTCTTAAATCGTTCTATCAGCTTCTTGGCTCTCCCGGAAGCCAACTCTCCTGATGCCATTTTGAGGAGAAGACTGGTACAAGGCTTTTGAAGTAAAAGGTGGAATTATGAAAGAGTAGTATCAGACGGGTAAAGGAACGGTTTCGCGATTCATGATTGAGCAGTCAGTAGCTCCGTCTTAAATGTTTGTCAAAGTTGGGTTTTAGGTACCCAAGATGTCGGCGTTTGTGTCACACAAAGGCGGGACAAGGCTTGGAACAGAAAACGTTTGATAGGTCAACCTACTGGCAGCCTGATAAACTGTCAATACGGTGTGGGCGCCAGACCAATGTTCTACAAACGGCGTTGGCCAGCTGGATTATGGTGGGCGTCTCCCGTTTGCCTCGTGCGTCTGACTCATTATATACCCTCGGTGAATCCCAACATCTCTGCACCACATGAGACGGAATGCCCGGCATCTCACCAGTTGCTGTGATTGCTTAAAAGGCAAGCCTACCTTTGACTTGAGGGTGTCTGACCTACTCGTTGTTGTCAGATCGCGCACATTTGGTGTCAAGGCAGAACTGAGAGGTCCTACCCAGCAAAAACCATCATCCAGATGTCACGACCTTATTTTCGAAGCGGGAGAACACCCTGGGGAGGCTCTTTTCGTGATGACAAGTCCCAGCGAACGCGGGAAGTTGTCCCGTCACCTGCTCCTCCAGTGGGAGATCACATCGAGACCATTTCGTGGGAGGACATGCTTCACAAGAAAGCCTCGCCAGAGGTAGCTAGCATTGGTATTTCCGGCACTGAACTCATCGCATCGTACAACTGGCTTGATGAGTGCTATCCGAAGATTATCATTCCAGGTGCGCTGTCTGCGTGACTCCCTGTGCTAGTTGACCTCCCGGCTGACAACTCAACCAGGCAAGCCTCCAGTGTGGACTCCTCCCCTTGTACGCCAACAGCTTCAAGAAGACAATGGCATCTACTATCGAGACCGCAACGCAGCATTCTACCCTAAGCACCCAATCGAGCCAGCCATCGTGTCGGTTATGCAGATGCATCATACCCCACAACATGTAGACGTGTTTGCGTGTGGGAGCACGCTGGGAAATTTGCTTAGGTTCCTACGAGGCGACGATAGGCCGTTCCGGATGCTTGTTGAGGTTGTTGCCGGGACCGTTCATCTCATCCGTAGGGAGAATACACCGAAAGAGCAGATCCTTGGCGTGAGAGGCTACGGCCACACATTCCCGGAAGCGTACACTACTTGGGAGGCAGACGTGAAAGGATCCCTTTCGCATCAACGTATCATCAAATATCGGTTTTGTGGGCTCGACATGATGGTGCGATTCGAAGGTGATGGCTACATCAAATCGGACAAGACACCACTGAGGGCGGGTGATGAGGCTGACCTGCTGGATCTACTCGACGGCCTCGGCGTAGACCGCGCAGGCAAAGCGACGAGCCCCGACAACTCCGAGAGCATTCTCCACGTAGGAAACGCAGGAGCAGAGGTAAAACAGGGCCAAGTTTTCGACTTGAAGACGCGCTCGGTCAAACGACAAGACGAGGATATCCTTGGAGAGGAACTGCCACGCCTGTGGGTTGCCCAGATACCCAACTTCATTCTCGCGTTCCACGACCGAGGTCATTTTACCGATGTGCGGATTCAGAATGTGAAAGACAAGGTGCAGAATTGGGAAGCACAGAATCAGTCCCTGCTGAGGGGTTTCTTTCATCTCCTGAGCCACATTATTGACACAGCAGGCGACTATGAAGATGGTGAGCTCGAGATTATCCGACCAGCTGGAGGTGGGCTCGAGATCCGGAAACGAGCGCCCGATGTAGGGAGTGTTCTCTCCGGTCCGGTGAGGCAAAGCTGGGCGTGGTGGCTCAGCAATGGTGAGGATGCAGGGCAAGATGCGAGAGTAGCCCCCTTGGATATGCACACGGCGAAGGAAACCAGCAGCGAGGATGACAGTGACGAAGAGGCAGACTATACTGCTTGCGACGTGTATTGCGGCTATTGTGGGAAGTGTGCCTATTAGGTGCCCTATGGCCTCAACCGGAAGGGATTCATCCTGCCATCTCGATCCCTCGATGACGTTTTGATAGGCATATCCGTTTCGAAAGTGGCATCTTGGTCTTGGTTCGGTTGTTGTGATGGTGATATGGTCAAGTCTGATGGTGCAGAGTATTGTGGACAGTGACACTCTTCATCGTCTGGGTGCGCAAATGATATGTCGAGTATGATTATGAAAGCTATCAGTTGTTGGGGATGATGAGATGATGGTCGTAGAGCCACAGCCCGACAAGTTATGCACATCGCTTATGTCGTCGGTGTCGTTTATTTGAAATCACTCATCTTGTTTTGCACAGTGGGGTGAATGAGCTTATCCAAGTCCCCCGATACATACATTCCCCACTCTTTATTACATCAATACCGTTGACCTCATTTGCAGCCGTCAAAAGAGTCAAGACCGAGGGTACTTAAGTAGCATGCAGGAGGCAGTTGTGTTCGTCCACTCCCCCAGATATGCCTCGAGTGAATTTATTTACTCTCCAAACAATGACAATGCTTGACCAACGTATGAACCCTCTTCTACGTACTTGCTGCGCGCTGGCTGATCCTAATGTCGCAGTCACTACGACCGTGTCCCTACTATTTCTATGCTTATTTCTACGCGTCGCCTGGGAATCTGGAGCGTCTTCAAGACGGACTAGTAGGGTTCAATACTCTCCGTCATAATTTCGAAGCACGGTTGTGCTAACTAGCCCAAGAAATATGGCTCGGTGCCCTGGTGCTCAATGCCGCGCTTCTCGTGATGAGAGCCATGCAAGTGGGCTCGCTTCATCCGCAATACCGCAAGCTCCTGTTTCTATGGGCTGCTGAAATACTCGCCTGTTTCGTCACTTGGCTGTGGTCGTTTCAACCGCCAGAAACAGAGCGCTGGGTCGATGGTGATGCGATGCGCGCCGCCCCAGAGGCTGCCGAACCAGTTGATGCCAAAGGTACCAAGTGAAGTGAAGCGACGGCCAACAATTGCCAATGCGAAGGAACTGAAGATCATTGCTGCAACGCGGAAATAGCCGTCTTTGGGACATGTATTGGAGTAGGAAATTCTCTGTCAGTTCCTGGAACTTGGGAAACGAGGTCGCTCACAATTCTTCATGCCTACGTTGTGTTACTTGGGCATTAGGTCCCGCGTGAGAGCACACACATCAACCAGCCTGATTGGTCAGAATATATTGAGGTATTTGAGGTTGAAAATTCAACGACAAGTCTCCAACTAGCTAGACAACCTGGTTCTCTGGCGGCATTGGTCTTCTGGCCACCTTTGATATACCCGTATCCTCCGAGCGCCCCTGCAGGAACACAATGTCGCTCTATCTACAGAAAACGAGCCATCTGTCCGCAAGAATCGACCGTCTCGTAATTGAGGCCGAAGTTGACGGTTTCCGGAATGATCCTATAGTAGAAGTTTGCAGCGTGTCCGGTTTCGACGAAGCCAATCATGTCGTGCATGTTGCAGCAATTCGCCCTATTCGCCCACCAGCGAGAGAGCTTCTGCGACATGCTGATCTGATGAGTCCTGGTGAGCTTGGACCTGATGCGGGTGGTGTACGAGACCTTGAAGCCCGGGGCGCTAGCACGCTTCTCAAAACGAGAGGCCAAGTCGTCGTCGCCGCCGCGCTTGGTCAGGACATCGTGAGGCAGGTAGATATGGCCGTCGCCGTTCCCAAAGTCATAGACGTCCATGTTGATGGTGCTGTTGCCCGACGTCAAGCCCTGGATGCTAGCAACCTCGACGGGCCTGCGCTCTCCGGACTCGTACCGCGCGAGGGCGTGCGGCGTTGCGTCCTTGATAGAGTCGAATGTTGCGCCGTCCTCGCCAAACTCCCGACTAAGGAAGTCGACCAGCGACTCGACGGGCTGCCCATCCCGTGCAGAGATAGCACCCGTGCGCTTCAGGATGAGGAAGACGCTGGCAATGGCCCCAGCAATGGCGGCAGCGAGCTCGTCGCAGTTATGGCCATGGTTACGCCTGCACACGTACAGCGCCGTGAGGCCTCCCGTGCTGGCATACACAACCACCTCGCTGCTCGTGCCGATGCGATCCAGCACAGAGTCAAGCACCTGGCACGAATCGCGCTTCAGCAGCGGTGACGAAGGCGTCACATCTGTCGTGAGGAGCTCCAAGTCTGTGGTCTCTTGGATGTCGATGGGAGTGGCTAGGACGCTGGCCAGCAGGGGCAGCATGCCAAAGAATGTACCGAATTGCATCTTGATAAGCAATCGCTGGATCCAACGGATTGTTGAATCTGGTTTGCTTTGGATTTCATCTCGACTGCCTGGGCTTTATATACTTTGTCTTCTGACCGTCGCTGAGTTTTGCCAATGCTAGATTTCGTTTGCTGTCGACCACGGCGGCGGAGCTTTTTGCTCTTCACGGACGATCCCTTACCACGATGGCTACGCTCGTCAGCTTATATGGATCTTTTAATGTGCCCAGATCCATTTGGGTCGGTGTAGTGGCACTTGGGAGCCACAGCTGGCTGCATGTCAGCGGTAAACAGATGCCGATTTGCGAATCGCAGCCAGACATTGAGCTGCCAAGTGGTGAAGCGCTGGGGTCGGTAATATGGAAAATGAGGTTGAATGCAACCTCACCCGCGGGGCAGTAGACACTAGGGCCAAAATATCACCATTATGATGCATATATTCGGTCACGACACCTTGCTCCGTATTGCATATTGGTACTTGAGACGCTCGGAAGTAAGCCGACAATTTGTGGTTCTCTTGGAGCGTAAGATGACGAGTTGGTCGTTGCATGAACAAAAGTGGAAGAACCTTTGCACCAAAGGGTTGGTGTTTCTCTTTCTTATCATTAGCCTTGGTCTTCGGTGTAGCCTCGACCGAGTGGCAAGTTGAAAGTGAAACATGAGTTATTTCATTACAGTTTAAGCATAGGTTGCCACAATGCTCTATATCGAGGTGCTAAAGTTCAAAATGCTAGCTGCCCCTTTCATCAAGCACGACTCGCAATAGCCGGCTCACCAAAGTCCATGTTCATTGAGTAATATGAATTTCCATCAATTAAATCACACGGCTTTTTTAATCTCCCCGTTTGAAAGCACACGAACCCCCTCTCCCAAGGATCGCTGTGAAGGGCGTTCCCAGTTCAGGCCCTTCTCTCCTCTGGCCCATACATCCTGACGCCTTTCGTAATTCTTATCCACAACGAGTGCAAGTGGATTAAAATTAGAATCCAGCACGTTCCATGTGGTTTCGGCGGCTTGGGCCTCGCAGTCCAATTAATGAGCTCGGGTGACTCGTTCCCAAGCCCGTCAGCTTGTCTGTGGAAAGTCTGCGCGCCCTCCCATCTTGCAATAACAACTGATAGTCTGCAACTGGATGGTCCAGTTTAACATTTGCATGTTTCACCCAACCCCGAGGCAGATTTTCTTCGTGCTGGTCGTCGCGTGGTACTCGTCGAAGACTGTCGTCACGAGTAATGATCTCGCACGTGGTGAACTCGACCCCCTTGACGTCGTTTCTTTCTTCGATATAAGCTTCGTCTTCTAGTCGTGATGAGCAATTGATGCGGGCTGCAAAATTGAAATCAAACAGCATGATGCAGTCCGTTGAGTCGTCGATAACGAGGTTTCTGGGGGCAATATCTTGATGTGAGATGCCGAAGCGAAGGTTTGAATCGTCAGCGAGATCTGCGAGCTGTTGAAGCCACTTTAGCTTGAATACCCGCGACTTATTCTCTTCTAAGGAACCTCCAGATATGTAGTTGTTAGTAAATCCAACGACGAGACCCTCAAGCTCGTCAGTGACAACCCGATCAAATGGCACGATATTCGGATGACGGGGAAGGCGCATCCAAATGTTCATTTCGCTCCATGACCTGGCTGCGTATTGTATGTGGAAGTAGTATTTGAAAACCACCTGAGATATGGTTAGCATTTTGCAAACCAGTTTTGGGTGGGGAGACGGGCCATTTTCATAGTTGTCTCGGGACAAGAAGGAGAATGGTATTGCACAAGATCCGCATCCGGACCTAATCTGTCAATCTCTTCCAAGGCATCCCTGCTGACAGTTTGTATCCCTTCTGGCAAGTTTACCTCTGAGAGAAACGGGTAGTGCACAAAGTATGTATGGTCGTGCTTTGCATCTGTGTATGTTGATACAATCTCCCCAGCGTCGGATACATAGACTCCATAGAAATTGGAAGGGATGCTATCAATATGCCACGGAGAAATTGAATAGCAAGACTTTCATCATCCCGTTCGCCATCCATTTTTGCAGAAATGACCCGTTTTTGGTCCCAATCAGTAACATACCAGGTGCTTGATTTGCCGAGGATGACATCCCCGCTCAAGGAGAAATATCGCTCTGGCGTCTTTGATCATGGCACTGGCTCGCTAAACATTTATGACTCTGTACGTACGAGAATGTGGAGTCAACGATACCAAATCAAGTCAAAAGATCACAGAGGGGCAATTAGGCAGGTTTGGTGTTGTGTTTGAGTGAGGGGGATGGAAAATGGAGGCGCTTCGCTTCAACATTTCTGGTGTGTTGGCTGTACACTCACGCCTTTCCTGACTGACCAATCAATGTCTAGAATGTCGGTCCTGGGCTATTTTGAGCGTCCGACGTCAACTCAGTATAGGCAGCAAGCATTTGGATGACGCTCAAGTCTTTGGCCTGGGCAGAGAATGCATATCACTTGGCAGCTGCTCGCCTACCGGGCTTTACTCTTACCAGATATACTTAGTCCTATTGCTCTGAGATAACTCGAACCCTATGCTTCTCCCAGGTTACAGGAGCAGGCAAAAGGTATTTGGCCGGATTAGGTCCTAGCTATCGTGCTCTATTGACACTATAATATACTGTAGTTATTAGTATTAAGTTATAAAAAAATCAAAAAATCAGATAAAGGGGCTAGATGGAGGGCATCTAGTAACACTGTATTTTGGCCGTAGTTATCGGTATACTTCTTTATAGGCAAACGTATTCTGCCACAGACTGTACATGCTCCGCCATTACTCTACGATATCTCGACTAAAACTCCAGTCTACACTAAAAGATCTAATCTAGCAAGAGCAATGGTTATCTGGTACACTCTTCATGACCGGTTGTCTGCCACATGCATGTCTGGTCCACCGGGGTGAACCCCAGCACACAGCCGTAGCCGACAACTCACATCATTATCGGCCTCTCAATCATGTCCGAAACAGCTCCCAGCGCTGTGAGGCTATTTTCATGCTTGGGCATGTCAATATTGTCCACTAACATGCACATCATACACGTACCTGACTCCAATAGAATCCAGTAATGGTAGATCCTGAAGCAACCGTGATGGGCCTTTTCACAAGCTGAGTATTCACAGCCGCTTTCTTCTCTCTGAAATGATAACATCTTCCACGATTTGTCCAAATCTGAGTTGTTAGCACGAGCATGGAAAATATCGTATTCGGAATGCGAGATACGTGCCTTGAATGATTCCACCTGCCCTTCTTTATAGAACCACATCACGTTTTCGCCAGCGAAATACTTAATATACATTTCAATAGCAGTGATGAACTCTCCACCAGGACCGTCGATATCGAAATGCATGATTGTAGCGCACTCGGATGATCTGCACCTCCCCACCCTGCGATTTGCAGCCGGGACGTCCTCGTCGTTGAAATGAAACTCGATACCGCGCAGTGTGCCCAAGCTGGTAACAGACATGCCGGTCAAGCAACGGAGATATAACCCCTTAGGTCCTCCAAACATAGTCCAACAGAGCGGGTGGTACCTGGTTGTTGATGTAAGTCTCGCCGTGAAATAATCGTCATTCAGATATAAATCGTTCCCTGGGATTTTCGGGTACCAAAAAGCAAGGTGTCGCAGTGAATAGCGCTCTGTGGTCTCATTTGCCGCAATGCACTCTGCGATAGCCAAGCTCACCATCTTGAGTCCCTTGACGCGCTGTCAGCGGTGCCCAGATTGACTAAAGGAGGGCCAACTTACGTCGAACCCGGCTTTTATGGCTGCTATTGGCCCCGAAACCGCAAGGCGCTTTGTTTTGGGAGCCTCATGCGGACATCCAACCCATGGCGATGTTCGCCTGCCCTCAAGCACGCATTGGATACCTTGTATGCCTCTCAACCCTGCAACCAGGTTGAACCCTTTCAGGAATGCGACATTCAGGACTGACTCATTACCCTCTGTTCTGTATCCCAACTGAATGGCTTCACCTTTCTTAGGAGTCAGCCTCATCCCCGCAATATATTCAGCGTCTCCCAGCGGGATAACAGAGAATGCAATTTGATCAAGTTGGCCGGGAAGAGATGCATGCTGTTCGTGGAATAGACGACACCCTTCTTCAAATCCGTGGTATGGCCCGGTGCGTGTCTCCTGGCGCAAATCGCCAGTTGCCTCTAACCACCTTGGACTGACTGGATTCGATCGGGGCAAGGCCAGCACATAAAGGTCGTTTCCTCGCAAACATAATGTTCGCTGGACCTGCTGGATCAACTTCCAGACCCTTTCTCTGTTTCGAATACCCCCATCGCGATGGACTTTGTTGGTGCGACTCAAATAACCAACAACGGTCAGCATCAGCTCTAAATCTGGATGCCCAGAACCGATTATTGTAGAAGATGGGTGTAAACGATCGCACAGCTCGACGGGCACTGAAAGCATCTACTGTTGGCAGATACGACGCAATTTGAAAGTAAATCTCCCGAGGAAGCGCAGTAAAATAGTTTGGAACTATATTTTGTGGTTGAGAAACGCGCGAGACTTGCGGCGTCCTCGGCGCCCCTAAGGGAAGGAGTCGAATCCCAGAGATATGGTAAGGATCAAATCTGGCAGCCTCGCACTGCGCTGCGTCTCCGTCTCGATCAACGAATCGGTCTTCCCAAGGGTAGCAGTCCTGGTTGCTCACCGTAATCAACTCCCCAAAACCATGACCCCAGCTGAGGCCGGTCCCTGAAGATGGACATGGTAGCGACTTGCAAACTTGGAAGAGCACCCTGCAGGGGATTGCCTCGGGAGAATAGACCATGGCTAGAAGTGACCAGCAAGCCTCATGAAAGGGAAAGCCGTATCTGCCGTTGACCGGGCGCTGACGAAGCACTCCCACACAGTCAGTATCCGGAAAGTCGTATCCCATATCATCCCATCGTGCGTTGAAGTCTTGAGGGGCAATCCAGTCGCCAGCATCGGGATCATTGTAGACTCCGACTCCTGTTACTGCAATGCCGTTTAGGCTGGTGTATACTATTGGCTTCAGCCTAACTCTTGCGCAGAATAGCGGGAAATTTCGCACTTACGAAGACGAAACTGGTTTACCCAAGACGTTGAACCTGTGTCTTCATGGTTATAGATAAGGTATCCACAAAGAACGCAGGAGAAGATACGAGGGCTCATGGCTTTTAGCCTGCTAGGAAGGTTATTCGACGAGGACAGCCAACAATAATTCCCTAAAAGCAAGTGTTTGAGGTGCAAGTTCGAGCCAAGTTTCGTGGACCTAGCTTGCCATATAAGATTGACGGCACCTAAAACTCAACATCGAAGCCATGGAAATGCATGGATAGCCTCGCCAGTTGGCTTTGACACAATGGCTTCTTGCTGCCGTGGGTGTTGGGACACTTATTCTTTCATATATACAGGAAAATATAGCCTTTGGCGCGGGACTAGTTTTAGTTGCCATTACGATGTATAATAGCTGATGGGTAATATTTACTTTAACTGGAAAGACTGTTGTTTTTAAAATCCCAAGGACAAAAAAATAATTAGAGAGCTGGCACGTGGTCACCTAGATAAGTGTCAGAGTGGTTATTGGGTTTGACCACTAAGCCATGGAGCAAAAAGATCCGAACTAACAGCCCTTGCCCGAATATCCCCAATGTCCAGCTTCAAAGTGTGCCTTCTTGGCTCTCTCTCTCTCTCTATATATATATATTCGGCCCTAACAATAAGATGGATCATTACTTGACACATATCTTACAGTTCCACCGCCTCAGATTTCACCCGTAACAGTAAGGAGATTACACACATATTGATAAAACTCAATTTCCAATGAGAACTTGGCTATTGGACTCCGCTACGGTCGTGAAACAGCATCCTCGCCCAATTTAAAGAAGTAAACACATGACATTTTGAGGCTAATACATGCTGCAGTGGCTTATGATGCCCTCCTCGGCGCCAGATCTGTATATTTATACGTCTCCCTGGGCGCCTTATTATGCGTTACAGGCGTCAGAGCTCTCGCACCAACCGGAAGCCAAACATGTTGGTGGCGACCTCGCTAGAGAAGTACGCGCTGCGATAGTTAATTCGCAGATTCTGCGGCTGGTAGTTCCAAGCGCCGCCGCGCACAACAGGGAACGGCGCGGTACCAGTGTGGACTGAGCCATCAGCAGCAGCATTTCCAAGGTCCCGTATCCAGGTATCTGCGCAAAACTCCCTGGCATTTGCGGTTACATCGTACAGGCCAAAGTTGTTGGGCCGGAAAGAAGCGACGGGAGCAGTCCATGCGAAGCCGTCGTCCACAGGAGTGTTGGCCCAACGGAAGCCGTTGACTTTCTTCGACGTAGTGTCAAAGCTGTTGGCGTACGAGACGACGTCCTCTATGTCGTTTCCCCAGAAAAAGGTGTCCTGGCTACCACCACGGGCCGCCCACTCCCATTCATCCTCCGTAGGCAGCCGGTAAGTGGCCCCAGTGATGGTGGATAGCCAGCCTGCGTAGGCCACGACGTCTTGCCTTGTGATGGCAACTACTGGCGAGTCTGACGTCTGGGGAAACCCCGGGTTGAGGTAGTTTAGGTCTTCATTAAAGACCATGGCAGTGTTGTTATCTGGATTCCACCAGCGTGCTCCGCCTCGCGGCTGATAGCTGGTTTCCTGGACAAAGGTATCAAATTCGTCTACCGTGACTTCTGTTTTGCCGATTGCCAGAGGCGTGGGAATGCTGACTTTTCGTTGCGGCAGCTCAAAGTCGCGCCGGTTCACCGGGACCTGCCAAAGCTCTTGTTCCTCGGGGGTAGACCCTGCCGTGAAAGTCCCTGTAGGGATCACGACCATGACTGGCCCTACATCAGCATCGCGGAACTCAGTTCCTGGAGCAGTCTCGCAGTTGATGCCGCTAGCCGCGCTCTGTCTAAGTTGCGGAGCCTGGTAGCTGGAGGGCAGCTCCAATTTCGTGCCGATGGTGTTGATCGCAAATCGCCATTCGTCGACACTTCCAGTCAGGAACATGACCGAGTCCAAAACACTCGGTTCATAGTCTGCGGGTGCCGACAAGTCCACAAGGTATCGGCTTTCGGCAATAAGACGCTCAAGAGTCTCGGAGAACTTGCCAGCCTGCGGAATTGCCTTGGGATGTTCGCTGGCAACCGAGGTCAGGGTAGAATACGCAGAAAGAGCCGCCTGCTGCACAGGTGCATATGTGTCCTGAGTAGTGCCATTCCATCGCAAAGTATTGACAAGCGAAGTCAGGTCGGCTCGCAGCTGATTGATATTAGTCGATTGTGCTGTCACGATGCCTGCCGTCGCCACAAACGATGCCAGAAACGAGCCGACGCGTAGATATTCGCCTAGCTGAGCCTTCATGATGTTCAAAGTTGGTAGTTTTTTCTTGTTAACAAGCAAGCTTTTGCTTTGTTATTCGGGGCTTCTTAAGGAATTTTGATGTCTTGGTTGCGTTACGAGGCTCACGTGATTCCAGATACTTCACGATGCCTTCTGTGAAACTAAAAGACTTGGTTCTTGAATCCAATGTGAAGGTGAGAATGAATCGATCTTATGAACAATTCGTCTCGCCACTCTATATTCCATCATGGTTGTATTAGAGAATCTACATTCTAAATCAAGACGGGCCGAGACAGAGATGCTCCTTCGGAGGACTCCGTGGAAGACTCGGGGCAACGAAACAATGCCATGCAAACGTGTAACCATATTGTGGCTTCGAGATTGATGCTATTTGACTCATACGCTCCTTGTTGACGGTGAAGAGTAGTTCCGCCAAGTCGACTATACGGCCCCTACTAGGAGTTGTCAAACTTCTTAGGTAGATTTGTCATTCTTCCGCCAATCAACATAATTAGTCTGGGCCCATGACGGATAAATACCTAGGTAGTTGAGCAATGCGCCATCACAATTGGCTTGACAAGTCATCGTATCCTAGACCTGATCTGTGATCCAGGTGCGCGGACGTCTATTGATGCCAGTTGAACCCGCAACTTTATGTAATTGCTGCTTGTAAAATCCGGTGACTGCCAATATCAGACAATCATTGTTCCGGTCGGCGCTTGCTCCAATTGGGTGGCGCAAGGCAGCCTCCGTGCATCCAATGTCCGATGCATTACGTGGAGATGCAAAATGTAAGAACCACCGTAATAGGAAGACACATCGGAACCTTCATAAAGCGCGGCCGGACTCTCTTTCACGATTTGCTGCCTTTGGATCCCATGGAGTCTTCTTCGCCGAGCCTGAGGCAACTAGTCCACTAAGAAGACGTTATTGGTGCCGTTAGCGCAATAGGACTACCTGACTACCTAGGTGGTTATTTTGGCTAGCCAGATCAACATATTTCCCGAGATAAGCGTGCAACTTACTATATACATTAGGTATTAGACTTCTAATAAGCTCACGCCGTTTCACCTTGGAATATATGGTACTTTCTTATACCTAGTCTCAGCAATAGCAATAGAGTAATAAAAAATTAAAAAGAACTTCACATTTTGTTGTTGCTGTAATGCTTAGAAAAAAATCCAACGAGATCATTCACTATAGCGTTCTATCCTATATGCTTTTTCAGTCTTATGTGGTTATTGTTCCGCGCTGGTTATTTATATATTTACTATGAGTTAAGTTAGTTGTGTTGGGATAATGTAATCATCCCAGCTCACACACCATCGTGAACCAATGAAGCCATTTATTACGATCTAGCTAAAAGATCGAAAATAGCTATAATTAAAAACTCCATGTTTTGATTCAAGATGGGCTGAGACCGAGGTGCTACCTCAGAATACTCCGTGGAAGGCTTGAGGCGACGAAAGGGTAGAGGAACTCAATCAGGCGTTTGCAAGAGAAAAGTTTCCACATTTATACTTAACATAAAATGGAACCTCCCTTGTACTGGTGCAAGAACCTTCTGATATATATTGTTAAAAGCTAGAACAGACTGTCAAACGGTTAGGCCACAACAAAGGAGGCAACACGAGGCCCGGAATCGGACCCTAAGCGAGGGCCGCCTTAGGCCTCTAGCACAGACTGACTTCTTGTATTTATAAAGATCTTTAGTCCCTTTAGATCTCTTAAAAATTAAAGGAGCTTTAATACCTTGAAGTCAATTATTATAGATTATATAGAACTTATTATGTTCCAAGGCCAGAAACCTGCCCTTATCGCACGGACCAATCATAACGTTTCGATTGTCCGACGTCCTAGGGGGTGTGAAGCTGGCTTCATTGTGTCAGAGTGATGTGGCCAGTTCGTGGGCGGGCTCTAACCCGGTAGTCAGTGAATAAGTCGCATCTTCGTGGTCTTCGTCTCGATCCCGGTGGTTGTCAGTGGTTGTCACCAGAACGTGCGGACGGCACAGGTGGGCTGTTTCCAGGCAACAGGACCGAACAAATCTTTCCTGAGCCAGCTTGTCCGATACGACTTCTTGCCCCTCACGTCGTAGGGTAACCAGCTGTGGTGAAACAGAGGATTTGCGTCGAAATGCACACATGCCGTTTATCCATTCCTGCCGACTAGAGAAAGGATTTTCATTGTGCGCTATGACCACAACGAGCTTCCAATGTAGTTGGTGCTCAAGATCACCTCCATGCTTAGCTTTATTTATCGTTTATTTGATACATCTGTGTAAGTTGTCGGTCCCGTCCTTGCCTCTGTACGGCCTCACGCTGACACGTGGTCGTTCCGTACGTGTCTCTCCAACCGTCTTCCTATATTCACCGAGTCGAGTGGGCACTCCTAGCGCTCCTACCCGAAGATTCAGGGCATGCTCTTGATAGAACTGCAGCTGAATTTGGGGGCCTTGGATGTCCCGAGGTTCATAGTACTCAGTTACTAAGGTAACGTATTTCCCAAGGGTTCGTTAAGCTTGCGATCTAAATTCCGGATTTGCTATCGCGTCGGTAAGCTTGTAACCTCTGATTTGTGCAATATGAAGGTTCATATACAGTAGTCACGCAGGACGTTCACTACAGCTTTTCCGGTGAAGAATGAGTTGAGTGAGAGAGAGTCAATCACCCGTTGAGTTTTCGGAGGGTGTGTCTGTGTCCACGCGGAGGTCAAACAACACCAAGGCACAGACTAGTTCTTTAACCCGATAAAAACTGAATAAAGGGGATAATCACGATACCTAGTAAGACGTCTTGTGACTGGAAGTCCAAAGTTTCATCCTTTTTTTTTTTGTATCAATAAGACCTTCCCACCCCAATGGCCACGAAAGAAACCAAGGCTTTGATATCAAAAACAGTCATCAGATCAAAATTTTGTTCCCAGCCCTTGCACCGAGACTCTTGTCCCAGAAGATTAGCCAATCATTCTAGAGATGGAATTATGCGAGATTGTGGCCGATCTTCAGAATTTTGTTCAACTGGTTGACCTTGGCCTCTTTCAAGAAGCCTCTGACTGGTTCGAGAAGCACCTTAGAAGCCATTACCACATGTTTCATGTCCTTGTTGAGTATGCAAACATGCTTTAAAGCAGGGCCTGAACGCCAAGCTTGTGGAGATACTTGACGAGGCTGAACTTGGGTCCTGGCTTGACACGCAAAATGAACACCCGTGGGACGTATGGCATCTTCTCGGACTCCTGAAAGCCTTGACCATGGTAAGTTTGAATGGATTTACACAGCAGGGACTCCAAAAGGCTTTCAAATTCTGGGACTACATGGACAAGAGTGTCAGTGGCTGTTCAAACTACGATCTTAACACCATCCAGACGCGCGCAATCGGAATATATTGGCTTATTGTCCCACCCGCGTCGCGTTCAGAACAAGTAAAAGTGCCAGCAAAATATTTGACCCCAGTCTTCGGACCAAGCTGAGGACCAAGAAATGTCTAGATTTTGCGAAGAGCACACATATCTGAGAGAGGCAGGCTTCCACTGGGAAGCCCAAAGGATCCAGAGCATTGTTTTTCCTGTTATCGACTTCGAGGAAACAAAGAAAACATTCATGAAAAAGCCTTCTTTTGGACCTGCGGCTAATAACATCAAAGCCGAAGAAGTGGACGAGTCTATGCTACTTTCGGAGTTGATTATCTCAAATGGTGCGAATACTTTTTGGAGTTGCAACGTTTTCTTCTTTTTTTTTTCGCCGAGGGTTTGAGGTGGTTAAGCTGTTGGTCAAGAAGGGTGCCGAGGTCTAGATTAAGGATGAGAGTGGTCACGATTAACACTGTCCGTCCTTCTGCAGACGCTGAACCCCAATCTCGTGACACTACCACGATTCGATTCAGGCGATTCATCGATTTACCGTCAATGCACCGATGCACACATATCGCCCTATGATTCTCTCCATCATATCACTTTATATCGCTTCTTAACTTCCACAAGACTAAAGCCTCTTTTAGTGACAATAGCCCAGGGGGGCATGTACTGCTGGAGGTGATGCAATGCGGGTATTTTCTTTGGGTTGTTTGCGTCGCTCCACGAACACCGGACTGTCATCTCCAAGGACTGAACTGGAGGAATAAGATGGTGCTGTAATCCTGTTGCCTCTGATCGCAAATTCGGCTCATTTCTCGCTAAGCCAAGCGAAATTTCATCTCCATCGTCTTCGTTCATAACTAAGCGTTGGTTTTGAGCTACCTGCACATCCAGATTCCAGGGGTCCCCCCAACTTCGCCGCCAGAGTTGAATGTGCTGTATTTGACCATCTGGAGGAGTCTGGCTGAGCCTTGGATCGCGCTTCGCTTCACCCTTGACTGTGAAGTTCGAGAGAGGCCGCGAGAAGTCAAGGTAGCAAGTTCTTGTTTCCAACGCGTCAAGTTGTATATGTGCAGTAATCTCATCTTCGGATTTCGATAAGACCACTGTGATTACATCGTGGAGGTCTGCACCGTTCGCCAGGTCAGGAAGATGAGACGACGCCACATAATATTGACAATCCACGAGAGCTCGCCCGACTGTCGGCTGACACTTGATAGACTGGCTTGTTCCCTCAGGAAGAGAGTCAATAACGAGACGCAAAAAGTCTTCAACGCCTGAGAGGGTCACGGTGTTTGTGCCCTTGTCCAGGTCAATTGATTGTTGGAAAATGAATCTGAAGCGACTGTCGTTGGAGAAAGGGAATGCTGTCAAGCTGTGGGCCAAGGTTCCGATAAACGTGAAGAAGAGTAACATGGGAACATGGTACGTTATTTGACGCATAAAAGGCGCAAGCGGAAGGATTAAAACTATACTTATCAAGCCAAGAACCACAAATGGAGTCAACAAGTTGCTGCCATCTGGTCCGGTCATGGCAATGGCGGTTATGGCAGCCAGCCCCTGGCTTCCGACAAGAATAAGATGAACTGGGGCCAGGATAAGAAGCTGGAGAAACCAAGTCCATTCAAGGGGCTGAATGGACGATGAACTTGGCGGTCCGTAAGTTTTGTGATATTCGTACATGGTGGCAGCGGAGGAAGATAGCCTCGCAATGAATCGTCGACAGGCGCTACCAAAACAACTCCCGTCGGTTGATTCGTATTGGCTCTCATTAGTACCAAGCAATGGCACACGGACGGAAACTCTCTCTCCATCATTGGTCGCATCGGCAGCTGTCAGCTCATCCTCCTCACTCCAACGAGCGCCGATTTGCGAGTCTGACTCTCCAGGCTGATCCGCATCCTCGACCTCTTGGATAGGGATTCGTTTCCTCTGGAGTGCAAGCTGTTCTAAAAATGAAAGAACCAGAGACAAGAAAATCGCAGAATGAAAAAAAGTTGCAGAGTAGAAAGATCCTATGCCGAATCGATTCTCAACGGTAGCTGCAAATACCTGGAATCCCCAAGAAAGACTAAATAGCCCAAAGAGGATACTTAGTCGAGTAAGATGAACTGAGTTCCCTATGATAAACCAGAATCCGAAATAAGACGAAGAGAGGGCCATTAACCATCTGTCAAGCGTTAGAAGAAGATAGGTTACCTGAAGAAAGGATGTATACCTACATGGTGTAACTGCCGCTATGCATTATAAGGGGGTTAAATATTGCGACTGCAATTAAGGGCCCCATGTCCAAAGTCACGGCAAATACCAATGAAATTAGAAAACGGATGAAATCTCTCCACACTTCATCCAAACAGTATTCATCTTCCCGAACAAGTAGGTATGCAAGAAATGCGACTACCAGAGGAGTGACGACAAGAAGCATAAGAGACCACCCAAAGAGCCATTTCAGCGGAAAGGCAATCCAGACACTGCCGAGCCAGTCGAACCAAACCCCCTTATCTACCTCCTCTGGGTGTTCTCGGACATTGGGAAGAATGGTGCTGGTATCTTCCGACAGCTTCTTCGTGGTCGCCAAAGCGGCAGACATCATGTGCCAAACGCTATCTATAGACGTATGCCGCGCGTCATCTTCAGTGGTATGATATCGTGATCTGGGATGATAGAAAGCAATATCGAGTCCCCGTAAGCCACAGGTGTCCGCAAATATCTCATAGTCAGTACCGCTCATGATAGCACCTCTGTCAAAGCCTTCATTCGCAATAATGGACCCGAATGGGTGAGGGCTGCCAGAGTATGCCATTGCCGCCTTGACATCTGTGGTCCGAAAGAGCATGGCACGCCCTCCGGCCCCTACTCCCTCGAGGTTAACAAACGTACGGCAGAACTGCACCAAAGGGCTGCGGCTGAATGCCCGTGAGCCAAGAAGCCCATCCTCTTCCGCATTGTTGAAGAGCAGCACGATGCCATTCTCAGGTTGGTGGTTGTCGGAAGTAAAATAGCCAAGTAGCTGTAGCATAGAAACACAAGCTACGCCGTCGTCCGTGGCCCCGTAGCTGGTTGCAACCCTGACTTCGTGTTTCAATATGGCTCCGGATCAAACTTGGGGAGCATAGGACTTACGAATCAAAGTGACAGTTTACAAGAACACCGCCAGTGGCGTCTGAACTCACGGGAGATTCCTCGGACAGCCACCAGTTCCCCTTTGGATCATTCTTTCCGCGAATGTAAATGTAGTAGTTGTTGCCTTCAAAATACTGGGCGGTCCAGGTTGAACCTGGTGTGTTGCCGCTCAAGTATGCGCCAGCGTCATATATCATGGTGAAATTGGCAGCCTGGTCATCGAACACGGTGACACGTGCGCTGTTGATGGCATGTTCCTGATTGCACCCGGTATCCCATGCCGTGTTGCATTCAAATCTACAATAAAGACTCAACTACGGAAGCCACGGCCGTAGGTAGAATACTGTAATACTTACTGGCTTTCCGAACTTGTTGCATGTAGCGATCCGACCGTGTAATTAACCCCATTTCGGCTTAATATTTCCTTGGATCGGCTTCGAATAAATTGCCGAACTCGATCGTTTTCACGACTGTTGAAGGGATGGTATGCATGAGTGATGTTTTGCAAGTCTTGCCACGCCACGGCTAAGCTAAGGCCGCGAGGAAGTTCCCTTGGTGAAGGAACAGTTTCATGTATGGATATAAGTAGTATAAAGATTGAGACGTATATAAACGAGGTCCAGAAAGTAACTGGACCTGGCCGGGGAGCGAATATGTCATGAAACCTCATGGCCAGGCTGGGGTCGCGCAAGGTGATTCTATACGGAAAGGATGACAGTGCTGGAAGACTTTGACTAACAAACCCTCAATTAAAGATGTAAGTACCGAGTTCCAGGCACGGTCGGGTACCATGAAGAGGTCTTGTTGGGATGTCTCCGTTGGAGCCGGGAGGTTGGGTGGTCAGCTGAACTTGTCTCACACTCACACCCACAGGTAAATGGTGTTACACAAACAGTTTTTTGGGGGGAGACTTCTCGCCCCCGCCCGAACTTGGAAGAAAAGAGTGCTGAGAAGATCAGTGCAAGCTGTGGTAAAGGGCTAGGAGCCGAACTTGCGATAGACAGGGCGCGAACAGGTATCTGGGGATTTTTTTCTTCTTTCTGATGACTTTGATAAATGCTCCAAAAGGACTCGCGAGGTCTGCCGTGGAAACATTGTTCCCAAGCCTTGCATGTTTGTCACTTTCTCAGATGGCAGTGTAATCACCAAGATATATTGGGCCTAGGCGCCGTTGATTGTGCTGGGCACTGTGTCTCTCGAGCTACTCTGCTTCGGCTTACTCCGTCATTGTCAAAAATTTCATATGGTACGTGGAATTGGCATTTGGATCTACAACATTCACAGCCTAGTAACTTCCAAAACGGTGCGCGAATGGTCAACCCAATCGCAACAGGTAAAGATAATGAATGTAATAAGCATCCACGGGAGCAGATGGAGCTACACTAGCATTCTCCATGCATAGGAAATTACGTCCCTGCAGCTCAATTCCAGAAATCCCCATCCGGACTTGCCATCACAAATCCCTAAATCCCCGCTGTGGCATTGAGGCTCACCGTGATTACTCAACCGAGTCCAGTCACCTTCCCCGCGCCAGCCTTGGCTATAGAATCCTTGAAACCATCACTGGGCTTTCCGTCTTTGAAAAGAGGCCCTGTGGCAAGTATAAGTCTCTAAAAATCCACATGGCGCATGCAGCGAAAGGCAAAGATATACGCACCAAAGGTAGGGTGAACAAGCATCCCATCCGCAAACACATCCACGGAGTTGGGAACAACCCATTCCATCAACCTGTCCCAATTAACACACTCATGTGGACTGCTAAGGTTCCCTATTGGTCGGGCTCCTTTGGCGTCCCATTTCATGGTGAGAACCGTCGTGTCTCCTTGACACATGACGGCATCCATGAGCATATGCATACAGTGATCTATAAAGCGCCGTCAGCTTGGGGAAAGGACAGTAAAACGAGAAGTACTTGCAACTTGTTAACCATACCAGTGTGCTCTTTATGCATGGCCAGCTCAGAGCCTTGCAATTTATCGAGGTGGTAGTAGGAAGGGTTCAAAGCATGGTATATGTTTTTCTAGTCGCAGTCAATTGCTTCTGTTGTGCGGCAGGTTTCTAGGAAGACATGAGACGTACAAGGCAATGAAGATGGTGAAACACCATGAGCGACCCGAAGTAGGTTCCGTCCGGCAATCTGATGCCCTCTTCCTCCCGGCCGAGTTCATGCATAAGCTCCGCCGAGAATCCAATATTCTGATCTACGCTCATACTTGAGCATCTTGCCACCTTAGCTGTTGAAACAGATTCCAAACTTACGTTCAAATATGTTGTGCCAGTTCTGGTCGACTTCCTTGCTCGGCTCACCAAAGTATTGAATATCCCCGGGAAGCTCCCACTGCTCCATTACATACGGTTCGTATGTGATATAGTCATTCGCAGGAGCTGTAGAGATGGCACAAGACACATCAGCTGCCTGAATACATTGGTCTGCTAACAGCATACACTTACATTTGAGGAACCGCGTGCCGTGAAGGCGACTTTGTCTTGTCATTCTCCATGTCAAGGTTACGAGAATAGCTGTGTATGCTGCGAGTGCCAACACCGCGGTTATCGCGAGCAATGGTCGCATGCACCGTCTGCGCTGTTGACGCGTGGGGTGGTTTTTACTGATGAGAAAGTCATCTTCTATCTCGGAACTTGACCTTGGATCGTCATGATTAATTGGAGTGTAATCGGGTGATTCCTTCATCCTGTCGTTATTTTGCTAGTTGAACCCAGGCACGTCTGGGAGAGTTGAGAAGCGAGGGGCTCACTGAATCCTCCGCTGATATGTAACAAGCAGAACCAAGAAACTGTTTTTCGATCAAGTTGAGCCGGGGAGGCTGGGGGGTAGGATATTACGAAGACGACTACGTCGGCGTGATTCCTGCAAATGTATGCCGTGCTCACATCACGCGGTAATTAAATATCTTCTTGGTCCAGTCTCAGCAAATGCGGTAGGCCGAAGGCTCGAACAGACCGAATCACTTAGGGACGTCAAAGACGTAGCCGCTAGTAACTCGAGAAAATGTTTCAGAATCGTGGCTGGCTGTGTTGTTCTCATTGGGATTGCTGCAGTTTGGTGTCTCTTGCGTCAACGTATGTGTCCGTATGAGAAACCTCACGAAGTCACGACCAGCAATCAACGCTTACATACGCGGTTTCACTACCTTATCAACATGCAGCAGCTTGCACTACCATCCGGCATTTCTGACAACTGTTGCTTGGATTTTCAGTAGTGATCGGCACGCTGCAGGTTCTGTCTCAGCAAAAGCAACATGGAAAGTACTACACACAGTCGGATAAGACCATGTCGATGAATTATTACGATCACTTTGGCCATAACAGCCCAACGGCACTTGAAACTTATTTTGCGTGCTTATTCGCGCAAAATATTAACTGCCGATAGGAATCAAGCATAAGATCCTACAAGATATAGCCTCGCTCGGTCGGATTAACAAGGAGCTGTGAGTTCCCCTAGTCGATTGTGTGATCCAGTGTCATGAGTACGTCATGACAACTCTGAATAGTATAAGATTTAAAGAAAGGGATAATCATTATGATAAATAGGTATGTTGCAAACAACGGTGCAAGATGTGGCTTGCATGCCGGCACATCCGACCCTACCTCCGCACTCTCTTCGCCTGACTGGTTATTTATTCCAAGTCAAGTGTCCAGTTTCCACCGAGTGAGATCAGTTTGCAAGTGGCTACGTCACGGTCAAATCAGAAACGATGGCAGCTGGAGTAATACCACAAAGTAAAACACTGCAGTGCAACATACCCCTCGTCTTGTACGGCCAATCCTCACATCTAGCTCTTGCTCGCTGCGGGTGTATTCCTTTCAACTTTTTACTTGTGGATTTCACTGCCAGTAGCATCGGCGGCTTGTGTGAAACAATTACTAAGTCCATTCACACTTCGAGTTCTGGGTAATGCGACTAAACCTGACTGATCATCAGTACATTGAACCAGTAGACGACGATGGGAGTACTACGTATTGTTCCACTTTGTTGAGACAATAATGGGCATGATTGCATTTGACGAATTGTTGGACTCGCAGAAGACAAGATGGGCCGTTCGAGATGACAACTTGTACTGCAAGTACGGCATAGTCGTGAAACATTAACCAGCATCCACTGATTGCACCATCGAGACGGATGGCTTGCCCAGGTCAACCGGCAAACCGGACGGCTATATATAATCGGGGGACATACATGAGCTAAAATATCTCGCCAACTATCAACATTACTTCTCCAACTTTATTTCCCAACACAATCCCTGAACCTATCTATCGAGAGACACAATGAAGTCTATCTTGGGCGTCGTTGCTCTCCTGGCCTTGGGAGCTTCCGCTCTTCCTCATGGTATGCTTACAACCGCGAATTCGGCTCGAAATATTTTGGCATGCTGACTCTTTGACCAGGCATTGATGGTGATCTTGCCTACAACAAGCCTGCTGCTCCTGGAAAGCGAGCTGATCTCGATGGCGACCTGGCTTATAATAAGCCGGCTGCTCCTGCTAGGCGGGCTAGTATCGACGGTGACCTGGCCTACAATAAGCCGGCTAGCCCCGAGAAGAGAGCTGACCTTGACGGCGATTTGGCTTATAATAAGCCTGTTGCTCCTGGAAAGCGAGCTGACCTTGATGGTGATCTGGCCTATAACAAGCCTGTTGCTCCTGGAAAGCGAGCTGACCTTGATGGTGATCTGGCCTATAACAAGCCTGTTGCTCCTGGAAAGCGAGCTGACCTTGATGGTGATCTGGCTTATAATAAGCCGGCTGCCCCTGCCAAGCGGGCTGATCTTGATGGCGACCTTGCCTATAACAAGCCTGTTGCTCCTGTCTGAAAGTGATGATGGCGAGGGAAAAGATGGCAATTTTCGCGTTGCGGCTGGAGAGATTGTACCAGGACTTTCATTAAACCGCAGATGAAACAGTCAAAAAATGTGCCACTCTTTAATACTATTTCTGGAATTGCCTGCTTGTTGTGCATTTATAGTTTTAGCGTCCAAAATCGCTCTCTATGTAAGTGGCTATAGATGAGTATCACGGTTCGCCGCAATTTAATATGCTCAAGCTCCCCCCTCCTACCCAAAACAGTCATAAGAACGCCTACTCCAGATATTCAAAGGTATTAGATAGCAGAATGCGCTGAGCATCCATGGCCGTAGAGATTACAAACCCGTATTTCAGCTGTTGGGCCCCTCGACGCCGGGACACGGTAGCACGCTGCGGGAGGCTTCCTTTTCCGCGCCGGGGATCATCAGGTTGCGGGATAATTAAGAGGGAAAGGGAACCTGGCCGAAACGGAATGGGCAAAAGGGGCTCAACGCACTTGACTGTATCAGCTGCGCGGTGTCGCATGGAGTACGAGATGGTGTGTGCATTTATGACGCGGGGCAGACAAGAGGGGCGAACAGAGTCCAGACCATCAAATCATTCCCCGTCACAACTCTGGCTTTGCCATTGCTACCAGAACCCTTCCCTACAGTGACGGCGGCGCACCATGCCTCAGATCAACCAGTTCCACATCCGGCCGGCAAGCTCGGCCGGCGATGACGCGCAGTTTATCATGGCGGCATTCGACTCCACCATCCCGTACCTGAGTTCCATCGGCGCGGCGGGAATGTGGGGGGAGAAGCCCTTCTCCGAAAAGGACGGCTTCGAGCAGGAGACGGTAGAGTCGGTCCACAAGTCGGAGCGCGAAGACGACTGCCTGAACATCTTGATTGCCGAAGTCGAGCAGAGCGAACGGCCGCCGACCCGAGTTGGGCTCGCCATGACACGCGAAGACTCGTTGCCGGCGTACATCACGGAGCGCGAGGAGATGAAGCCCGAGGTCGACCAGGCGAAGCAGTTTATATTCCTGGAAGTTGTCATTTCAGACTACAGGACAACGCCTCTCCACAAGGGCGCCGGAGCCGCGCTGATCGAGGCTATTAAGCGCCGTGGGCGGGAGGAGAACAAGGACACCCTGTACGTGGATTGCTGGGCAGGCAACGACGGCAAGTTGAACAGGTAACATTTTCTGCCGACCGAGCCCGGAGAGATGCACATTGGCTTACACGCTCGTAGGTATTACGAAAGACAGGGGTTCGAGAGAGTCGGTGACTTTTCCTTTACCAGAGCAAGTGGCGAGATTTGGCCAGGCACCCTCTTCCGCATGCGTCTCTCTGAACCCCAAAGCATCCGCGTAGATGTACCTTGTGACTTGGAGCGTTGAAGGGCTGAATGAGCATCATTCGGACCCTTCAAATTGGCTGTTTGGCAAGCGCCTGGATGTGGGGGATGTCTGAGCATTGACGCTCAAGATCTGTCTAGGCTGCAAAGGACAGCAAAGAAGCCCCAGACAGAATGACGAAACAGTATCAACTTCAGTGCATGCTTCTCACTAGTCCGTGAGCTATATTACTACGGTGGAGTTTATGTGTTACCGTCGGCCTACAAATCATGTGTCCCGTCTCAGCACAAGACAGATAAAAGTATGCAAAATCCCAAGGCACTGTAACTGAATGTAGACCCTATTTTGGCCATGATAATACTAGTAAAGTGCAGACAAGTAACTCCCCTTCCGACGAGATACTCTACTGGTATTCGTGTCCCTCCCTGGGCATCCTAATCCCAACCTCCGGGGCTGTGGTAATTGCACATCTTTTTGACTGGGATCCTGGCAGCTCGAGACTTCGTGGCGCGGTGGCCCCAAGTACCACTTCCTTACAGGCTAAGATGACGACAACTGGGCTACAAACTGTTGTGTTCCATTCCCCAGCGCACACAGGTTCTTGCCCCAGTCGTCCCACAGAGGCACAGACTGTCGGATAGAGGACGTTGGACAGTGTCGTTGACGAGGATGATGACGTTGCCCTGTGGTGTCTAGTAGTCATCGTAAAGTTCGAAGCAAGACGATATATCCATCTTTTTGTACTTGCCTGACTTTTGTTGAAGGTCCGAAAACGCCTTCGAGTAGTCGATGTAGTCGGGGTTAACACTGGAGTTGTCCCAGCTGGGGTCTCCGGCGGATCAACGCCGCTGTAGTTGGGTTGAATGGACTCCCTGTCGACAGCAAAGAGCTGCAGCGGCAGGCTCGAGAACTAAATTAAGGAAAGGGAGAAGCTAATAAATGTAATGCTATAAAAACTACAATACAACGTTGAGAGTAAACTTGACTTCACTCCCTTGTGTATCCTAGCAGGCGGGTACGTGGAGTATTTCAAAACGAACGAATAGTTGCCGAAACGGAACCGAATAAAAGATGCGTCACTCAACCGACAGCAACGCCAATCCATGAACTTGCTAGGGGTTCGACCTAGGACGACCCTGGATACAGCTCGACTAACCCCGAGTAGACGATTAGCACGGCGCGGTTTTCACACAATACTCGCTCACTGTACCCTCTGTAGTGTGATGCTTACAGATATTTCCGCATATAGGACACACAAGAACCAGCTAACATCATCATGCCGTCGAGACATTCCTTCTCTCTTTTAGTTCCAGACATGACCGTAGAGAGTCAGGGGTAGGAGGCCTTGCGGTACGCTTTCGTATGGCGACCCTCTCACCCACTCGGGTTGGAGATAATATCCGTGTTGACTGGTCCCGTTGTGGAAATAGGGTGCCTTCCTGAATATTAACGTCTTCCCTCTCTCAACTCACTTCCTGTACCCGGGGTGCTATTTGTCCGCGAAGCTTCCGGCACTGCGCCACATTGGCAATGTCGTGCCAGCAGGCCTTCACCATGGAGAAGATGTCAAAAGCAGACACTCACTGGTGAACTCTGTGTCTGCTTGTGCTTGATTTGGTCCAAATCCTCAAAGAGGAAAGCAAGAGCTCCTACCGTGACTTCATTGGAGGATCTAATGGAAATCACCCTGGTGGGCGTTTGCAATGTCGTTTTCTGAATGGTGACGGTCCAGCAATCTATAAGCCTCGTTGCGGGAAGGTACAAGGGTTGGGGACATTAATACCTTTGGGGATTTTTACGGTGCCTGCAATCTTCATGGCATTGCATAGGATAAGCATAGGATAGATTCCACCTGGGTTAGGGTTACTGAAGTTAGCACAACCGGAGGGAGATTTCTAATTAGCCTATTGCTTCCCAACGCACTTGCTGTATAATGAAGAATAAGTATTTAGGAGCTAGCTCATATAGTACTTGCAATATAAATGAGGATTTTGTTTGAAACGGGCTCAAAATGTATTCGAATTGCATCTCGACATGCCAAGTAACTCGACACCCTTTTAGATCATTATATCCCGCACTCAGCAATACATACGACCCCAAGAAACCAAGGCAAGAATCTTTGATTTAGTGGTTTAGATCTGAACATGCTGCTCATGCGTCATGTAGAGAAATAGCTGCCTATTCTGGCTGTTTACTAGCCCCCTCTGCATGATTTTGCCCACGGTCAGTCCGCCGCCACCAAGTATTCAGTCTCAGTTCGTCCATCTTCACCCCTTGACCCCGACCGACATCATTGTTCGCGATAACTGCGTTGCGTTTCCCGCCATCACTTAACCAGCAGCCTCATGGCGATTGCCACAGGAGGTAACTAATTCAGACGCAGTTGGATGCCATTTACTCTCTACAATCAGGTATTTCGTCCGGATCGCATCCATCTGTCCAACCGTATCCAAAGTAGCAGCCCTCTGCGGCACGATAATAAAGAGCAGTCCAAGAGCTGCAATTACCGTCAGAATATCTCGTCAAGTGACGTTGGGTACATTGCCCTACCCCATGTTTACAGCCTTCTTGCACACGACTTCGACTTGGGCGCCTTCATAAAATAGCTTGACTACATTGGATGTGTTATCCGCTTCCTTGCGACAGTTGATATTAGATGCCGTGCCGTGGGTATTAATGGTACAAGTATAGTCCTGGGCCGCAGCCAGGGGGCATACCAGACTGAAGGCACAAAAAATGTAGCTTGATGGCTTCATGATGCTAGCCCGGAAAATTAATTGGCGGAATGATGATTAGTGTGTAACCAACTTGGTGACCGACAAACAATTCCGAACAGTGACGGAAAACGTCTGGCATACGGAGTATATAGCTGGGCATATTTTATTATTGAGGTACAAATGATGGTTTCTGCTATGGATTCATAAACGGGAAGCTGCCCGAGACTTGGCATGATAAGAAACGTATCCTGCAGTATGACACGGAAGTTCAAGACATTGCTCAGCCCTCGGGGAAAGCGCCTATTAAGCATCTGCCGCGTGTCAATGGCTTGTCTTGCTTGTTTCACTCAACAAATCTTAGTAAGCTCATCACAATCTGTGTAACGATGTATGCGATTGTCACATGCGAGGCGGTACTTCTGAATGTCCAGAGCAGGGGGAAGGCTGAGAAGCCCGTGAGCTCTCACCGACGTCTATTCAATGCAAACAAAACTCCATGTATTATTGTTCCGCCCCGTCAATCCGATTTCCAGCCTTTATCATAAAGAGTACTACACATGTGACTGCACACATCCTCTCATAACGCTTGATAGCGTCACTGACCAGTGACGACACCAACAATCCATGTTCAGCCCATTGTCATACGAACCATGTCAACACACCAAGCAAGCAGATAAAATGGCACGACAGCAGTATTACTGCCGAGGTAGCATCAGACCGACGGCCCGGCATACCCAGTCCAAAGTGACAGCCAGCCACCTCCGGACGCCATGTTTCTCTTCCCACACGAGAATATTCGTTTTGCATATGCGATCCGCAACTCAAATCAGACGAAATGTGACATATGACAGGTTAAAGCCAGCAACCCCACAAACAAGCTCCCCTCCGTTCCCACAAGGTCCGAACCCCTTCGATGTCTCCTTTGATCAGTCATTCTTGTCACACGGGCCATCATGTCCATGACCTCGCTGGCGTAGTTCAGCAGCATTGCAGCTCAAAATATATATGAGCGCTGTCCTGTTTGCCCTACTGCGGATGCCCTGCCAGAACTAACTGTTTGTGTGTACCACGATCACGAAAGGCGCCCTGCCGACGGTACTGCAGTGTCAATCCGGACTGGGGGAGCTTGTGTAGACGCAAGTCGTCTCGCGAGCCATGCTAATAGGTGAAGACGCCCGCGACGGAAGCTGTGCCGAGTGTGATGAATAGTCTGAATCCTTCAGTACAAGCGAAAAGGTTCAAGAAACTTCATAATACTTGGTCCATCATTTCACAGACACGATGAAAGAGGTAAAAACAATCTCGCAGGTCCATATGTTCCTTTAGGGATGCCGGTACTTCAAATACTTCAAACGGGAGAATAGCGTGTACGGTTCTGTGTTTATCCATCTTGGTAGTTTAACTTTGACCACTAAAGGGTATAGAGAGACTATGGGTGTGCGGAATCAAGTTGTGTCAGCGTGCTCTACAGTCCGAGGCCAGAGCCCAAGTCAAAATGAAATCGTTCCACGCCCTGAAAATCTATCGCGCGAAATGGTTTCTTTTGATCTTCTGGGGAACAACCGGCTAGACGTGCAGCCGCCGTACATTGCAACATCCCTCGCTGGGTCCCTTTGCTGCATACCAACTAACTACATACAGACCCAACGGTACAGTTGTTCCTTACGACCTATAAAGACATGTGGTTAGATGCTGGCTCGGTAGCTGGCAGCGAGGTATCTCGTAACACAAAGTTCATGGAGATGAGAATCCCGTCGAACCAGACACAATACATGGTCATTGGCCGTGTTAAAAGCAGATGCCAGATACTACATTCGGTGTCCCGGTGCCTGCATTCCGCATCGCAAAGAATAATGACATAAAATTACTTCAAGACTATTAACAAACGACTACACAGAGAAAAGACGTCACTACGAATCACCGTCACCTATGGTATCATTCCCAATCTCCCTCATTCTCATCGACCCTCCTGCCGCAAATCACCATTTGGCGGCCACTACTAATTGATTATCGCACCTGAATAGCCTGCTGCACCTTGGGGTACAACCTTACCATCTCCTGGTACAGTTCTGGGTGGTCATTAATCATGACTTGCGGGTCCCAACCAGACGCGACGAAAATTGTATCAATGCCGCTCGAAATCGGTGTGGTGAAAATAAGCGCAATTTGGAAACCGATGAGGAATGCAAACGCCATAATGACGGCTGTAAAGCCCCCATCTCGGTTGTATGCTGGATTGGTGAATTGCAGGTACAGATAGGCGAGCAGGGAAGTAGCAAAGGCGATAAACATGGCACCAAAGGAGAGAACGGGACCAATGAGACATTCCTAACAAACACACATCATGTTAGCGGGACGACGAGCTACAAGTAGGAGTAATACATACGTTGATCAGTGCGTCAATGCCGCGATCCTTGATCATGTTCCAGGTATCCTTGGCAGCAGGAATATAGGCCTTGCCGTACAGTGCAATATGGCAGAAAGCATATCTGTTCAAGAACTGCAGGGCCCATTCGAGCAGACCGATCAGACAGCCGAGAATGCAGAAAATGACATATCCAATCATACCGCCGACACCGCCTTGGTCACCGGCTTGCTGCCTGGCAACGGAGCACAGCTGACGGAGGAACTGAATAATGGCGACGAGCAAGCTACCCAGACTGATGGACCCGAAGCTGTAGGTAAGCGCACGCTTGGCGGATCCGCGCGTGGCACCCTTGGGGAAGTTGTGTACGCAGAAATACCAGGTGCCGTAGACACCAGAGATGATGGTGTGAATCGTGTTCTTGAGCCACTCAGAAATCCAGTACATGGCAAAAGTGATAAAGACGACCAAGCCAATGACTGTCGCCTTGCTGCAGCCTTTGCCATCGGCGCCGCACTTGGGGTTATTGGCCGATGGTTCATACGTAACGTAAACGGCTGCCAAGGTGACGGAGAACCAAGCAGCAAATGCGGTAGCGAGGAATCCACCGATCAAGGAAACAAGATAGACATGGCCATATTTTTTGCTGACAGTAATGCTCGTCTTGAGCATCAGTGCGGAAAAGGGGATGCGCGAGATCCAGGTGTAGAAGGCAAAGGCCGTAAACAGTCCAAAGATGAGGAAAACAATGCCAGCGGACCAGTACTTCTTATAGAGGTAGTAGATGGCGGTTCCGATAGCCCAGCAAATGTTCAGAATGCCCGTGATCCAAATGAATTGCTTGGGGAAGATACGCGCGACGGTGACGTAGCCCCAGGACAGGACGAAGGCAACGACGAGGCCAAAGGCGAAAAGGATGATTGTGTTATTATTCAGAGAGAAGTTGTTACTGCTACCGTAGATGCCGCTGCCACGTGAGCCGGTGACATAGCCTCGAATGGAAATGATTGAGACGGCGACGAAGCCGGCAAAGACGATGATGAGCTGGGCAACGGCCAAGTTAGCGACGTGGATGATTAAAACGTGTTGGGACGCGTCGGGACGTGTCAAAGCGCGCCAATACTCACGAGGATTCCAGCCCAGAGATCATTCCACTTTGGTTTCTCGACCTTGAAGGCCTGGTCGAAGGAGTAGTTTGGGTCATTGCCCTTGGGCGGGTTGACGCTGTAAGGCGGCGGCGCGCCGTACTGATCGGGGTACGGCTGCTGGTGATAACCATTCTGATTCTGATCCTGGGATTGGTTGTAATAGCCTTGAGGCGGCGGCTGCTGGTACTGCTGTTGTTGATATGGCTGCTGACCGTAGGGCTGTTGCGGTTGACCGTAGGGCTGGCCATACTGTTGCTGTCCCCATTGCTGCGGTGGACCTCGTTCGTTGCCGCCGTTGGCGTAGCTGTCTGCCTCCCCCATGGTGACTGCGTTCAATGACCGGTCGGGCTACACGCAATTGCTGCAAAGAAGATTCGGACAGAGAGATTGAGTGAAGCAATTGCACAGAAAGGCAAGCTTGACGGACAAGAGGGAAGGGAAGGGGGGAAAGGGGGGGGATTGTTTCGTGCAAAGGTCAAAAAGCCAAACTGAGCTGGGCAGTGCTGGTAATTTCTTGTCGCAAAGTAGCACCAGACAAGCTAAAAAGCAGTGATGGAATGAATGCCAAGCAAAAGCGTCTGGGCAGGTGGAGTGACGAGTGGCCCGTTGTTTCCCTCTCTTGGGCAACTTGCATCAGACTGGTCCAGACTGGACCTGCATCAGGCGCTAATGGCCGCAGTCTCTATCCGCGTCTGGTTTACCGTGGCCAAGTGATGAGGTCATCGCGTCATCGCGGCACCCAACTTGAACTGCTGGAGATTCCGCCTGGAGCTTCGACCGGCTCGGCACTCAATTTCTCCAAACCAGCGCTGGCGATCGGAAGGGGCTGCCCGCCGCTGGCTCATCAGAGCTTCTTGGCCAATAAGAAAGTCAATATGAAATCTCCACACGGAGGGGGGCCAGCTCAACATGGGTTGGTTGGTTGCATTGTCGCAGAGAAGAAGATTGCTCAGGGCGCTGTTGGTCCACTTTTCTTCTTCGAGGTGGGGACAATATCCGACTAGACGTCTCAACCATTGTGCACCTCGAATTAAATCAATGGCATCGTCGAGATGATACACCGGTGTTGTCAACCCGTTACTGTATTCTTGCTCAAGGCCGTGGCGATTTATCGTCGAAATGGTCTGCTACCAGGGGAAAGACATGGGCCCTTCCACTCGGCTGAGCTTAGACTCATGTTCTGAACCCGACTCCATACGTCAACTCAATGTTGATGCAACTTCTACCAAGACCGTTCACGGTATACCACTATTAGACTTTGAAATTTTGAACAATCTCTACTGAAAACTATTTATACATATCATTCCAAGAGCAGTAGATTACGATCTCACAATAGACGGGTTCAAGGGGTTGTGCCCCGCGCACAGCTGTTTGCAAAGTGAATCCAAGACCATTCTTCAGGCTGTGTAACTACTCCCTATGCGCTGCAGGTTTTAAAAGACTCAATATGAATTGGTTCAACAGTCCAGCTTTTTATTCACTGCCTGGTTACTTTCCTCAAAGCAAAATTTGTCGGCTTGCCGGACTCAATATTAGCTAGACACTATTCAACACACGTGTCATTGTCGATAGGCAACGTCCCTGCGAGATTCGGGGGCAAAAACTCAAAACAAAATTCTAAGCCTTCCTCAGGCTCGTCATCAGAAATAATAACAGCGTCCTTCTCCTGAATAATATCCCAAGTAGCTGTTTATTCCCCGGGTCTCTGGTCGTAGTTTAGGGGAAACAAATACGTCACGGTAGAGTTGTCTTGTCGGCAGTACTAGGTTTACTAGTGCATTATTCATGTAGTATAGTTGCTGCACTACGTGAACATATTAAGGTATGGAGGCTGGTATTGCCTGGACTCTCGTAGTGATAGTCTCCTTGCGTAGTCTTGCTGATTTGGGTTAGGGTTAGATTACGCTCCATAATAACGTCGCCTTGATCGCAAATCGAATGGATAAGTTGCCTCTCCTGAGCTTTCAAATAGCCCTTTAGTATTCTAATGGCTAGCCTCCTTGCTTTTTTGGATAATTCTTACGCTTCTGTTAGGGAATCATTTCGCTTATCAAAGCTCTACTTGAATGGCCTTAAGTGTGACAAGGGCTCAAGGAGGGCTTGGAGCTAATAGCTCAATTCATCTAATAACAGTCTTTGGTATCAAAGGTCCTTGGTTTTCCAAGTCCTTGAGGGACTAAAGGTCGCTATAAATACAAGAAGTCGGTGAGCCCTAGGTCTCGTGACCGTAGCCCTTGTGTAACCAGCTATTTCCGTGTAACATTAAGTTAATAGGCTATTCGATAAGTTGCATAAGTATCTAGTAATATAAGAACACATATTTAGTGTGTTTAGAGTATTAGATAGCGTCATTTCGTTATAAGTAATTCTAATATCTTCTTTTTTTTTCCCGCCGGACGCGGGCAGGTTGACTTTAAAGAGTGATTCGCAGCATGCCCACTAAAACGCTACTTTACTTAGTTCGTTAAGCAGTTGTTGAATACATCATATAGCATAAACTAAGTTATATTATTCACCTTTCTTTACGCAATTATTGGCTTGCCGAGCTTCAACTACTTTGGAGATCTCCATGCAACGGCCGTCAATGAACGCGCCAGCCCAGTACTGAGAGTTGGGTGCCATAATGTTTCGAAACCATTTACCCTGCAATAGACAAGCGGCCCATCGCAGCTGATATAGCATCGTCTAAACTGTAATGGTATCATCATTTCGGCATACTTTGCAGAAATGAGTGGTTCTTCAGAGCGACACGGAACCCACAAATGCATGATCCTACGCGGCTGTGTCAGCACTCTATCGGGTGGGAAGCAGTCGTTGATCCCATTAGTGTATTTCTGCGACTGATATGCATATGGATTCCTCGATTGTAATTCGACCTCTTTACTTACTGATGCAGTTACTTCAACAATAGCAGCGATGGAAACGGTCTCTAAATTCATGGTGCTAGAAAGCTCTTGCCATAAAACTTTACCTCTGTGTGAGCAGGGAGTCTGTGTGGTATGATAAAATGTTGGACAGCCATCATACGTATGCCAATCACATCGGCCTGAGTAGGGCTAGGCTTTTCAAACCTCTCTGGCAATGGAAAGGCCTAACCAGCAGCAACTTGACACGTTGAATCGCATATTGACATTTTGCCAGTATTTACTTTGCTCGTCTGGCGCTGCAAGTTTCAGTCACATCTGAAGATTCTTGCGTCCATCTTCTCAAGGGGGCCAAATTTGACTCACACAACTGCCCAAGCCCGCAATTATTTCAAAGTGTCAGTCAGGGGGCGTATGCATACAACGGTTGTTAGATGGCCGAATAGGCGACTAAAGCAATGAGAACCTTGTGATGTGCCACGTGGCTGTGTGGATGAAGGGAAACAACAGTCGCCGCCCGCAAGTCATGGGAAAATAGAAGTAGCATCATCAAGATGATCAACTTCTGAATCGAATGCGTGTAAATTCATTCAGTCAGTGATTACGCGTTGTGAGCCGAACAGATTGTGTATACAACTGCAATATGGAGCAACATATATACAGGTACAGTTGGGATGTACATGAAATGGATGCGGTGACCGCGCAGGAAAATAGAGTATACAACACGCCCGCGAGCCATCCGATAGTGGAGTGTTTCTTTCGCGTAGGACCCGATATCCGCCTTGTAGCGGGTAGCAGATTCTTGTGCACCACGTCGACATGTGTGACGTGCCGTGCGTAGTCACATAGGCGAGCCTTCATTGCAGTGACCAAAGAACTTACATAGCCAAGCTTTTTCTCCCGGCCCAACGACGTGTGGCAGGTTACCTTTACACGTTAGCCAAATGAGACGAGCTCCCGCCACAATGAAATTCTCCGAGTCCCTCTCGTTCGCTTCGTCGCCAGTCTATGTATACTTGCCGGGCATTCGAGTCTGTCGGGCCATCCATCGCCTACGATTGTGCAGCTAGGTGTATACGCAATTAATGGCAGGCATTCCGGCCTGGTGAACGAGCCAAACGCCAAATAGACTCGAAAGACTCAATAGCAAGGTGTAAATAATATGAAAACTACTTCACTGGTCGTCCCGGCTCACTTGCAGTATGTAGCACCAGACCCCAAGTTTCCGGATATATCGAAACTCGGGCCGTATTATATCCAATGATGGGCAAAATCATGAGCTTTTAGGATCACCCACAGAGGTCGTCAGCGGTCATGACTGCAACGCACCATCAGTTGGACATGTGGAAAAAATGGAAGACTCTGAAAACTCTACGTAAAAAGAGCGAAATCATATCGAGACCTATATGTTGAAACACTACTGCCCTTCCAATGAGCGACTTGATCATGACACCAGCCTTGATGGCAAGTCATCACGAAGCCATCATCACCCATGTCAGAGCAAAAGCCACCCGTTGCTACCACTCATCTATCTACACTCACACAGGCGTGACACGGCAGATGCTTTCAGCACAAACTGTTCCCTATGAACCGAGTCCATGTCATCTAGCGTTGGTGCATGCCAACACGCCGCACCAACGTAACCAGGGGGCCGCAGGGCAAGTTTACCGGCACGTCAACCTCTCCATTGCAGAAACGAGGCGTGACCGGTACTTCAACTGTTGCTGTTCACAGGGACTCCTTGGATAGCCCGGTGCTCCCAGGTTCCCGTTAGCTCAACGATGCACGATTAATTCGAGAAACACAAGCCGCAAAACGGAGGGTTACAAAATATTAGCACAGTGCTTGTACATGTGTAGAGTAGCACGCCTACCCAATAATCGTGAACACATACATGTGTCGCATTGTGGGCCGTATGTCGGTGTTCATTTAGGTTGTATATCTCTGTGCTTGAAGTACCACATACCCAACGGAAACCAGACTAGAGGGGTACGCCTACAATATATGCTCCAATAACTTGGAAATTTGTAACCTTCAAAATACTAGATTAGGTTACCAACGGCTAAAACGGCGAACGCTCTGGCTGCTTTTGCCGCAAATCGCAGGCCGAGATTCGTACAGCCTCGGCGGTCAGCGTAGATTGTGGTTGCATCATGAGCGGGAACCAGATATATAGCGCCTTTTTTCCCCAACGGGCATAAGCAACTGTTGCTCCCCCTCCTACGATAGTAACTGGCTGCGTTTCGATCAAAACGCCATGTTGTGGTGGGAGCAACAACGGGTTCGTTTAGATATGCTAGCAAAAGCAAGTTGCCCAGGCCGTCCGCAAAAAAACGATCGACGAACGCCACGATTCTACTTCGTCCTCGACTCTTAGTAAACGCTGTGATTCGATATTTCCTGGTTCTTACTTCCCCCTTCTTGGCCTGTTGTCTTCCCCGATATCGTTGCTTTATG